AATATTAAATTTATGATGTGTGGTAACATGATCACCTTTTGAGTTTTTATAAAAATGTCATTTTTTACTTAAGTAATTGGAATATGTTTTCTGTAACTTAGATTATGGATAATTAATACCTTAATATGGGTGCTGTGGCAATGTATCTCTAAAATGTCTCCAAGTCAACTATAGCATTCCTTCCTTTCTCAGGGTTCACTGTATTGCATTTAAGTTTCTAAGATGGAAAAATGCAAATACTTAAAACGTGAGAGGCTGGTGAACAAAAGCTACTGCATAATGTCTACCACACCAAGGCAAAAAGTCAGTCGGCAGCCAGGCATTGCTGCAATTCCTTCCGTCAGCATCGTGCTCCTAAAAGGATAAAGAATAACAGTGGAGAGGGAGCAGACAGGAACATCAAGAGGAGAATATCATAGACTTACTATGAGTAAAATTCTTATAGTTATAAAAAAGAATATAGATTAATTGTAGGAAAGCATAAGGGATCAAGAAAATATATTTTGTAAGACTACATTTGTGGTAAATTCTACTTAATTTATTTGTCAGTTATATTGAAATATCAATTGCCTAGACAATAAGCAAGTTAACTTTTGATCGTCTTTTGCTTTTCTACACAAGATAACATTTATGCTCTTTCTAAAATTTTATTATACAACATTTAATATATAGATTCATTTTACTAAGAAATTTCCATTTAAAATAGTGCTGTGAGTATGTGTTAGGGCATTAGGAAGCTATATGGAGTCTAACATAGTCTGTTACTGATTCAGGGTATTAAATTACACTTTCACGTTATGGCAATGAAATCCAGCTTCAAAAGTTTAACTTATTCTGACTCTGCCATTCAAGTCAATTAGTGTTTGCTAAGTGGTTGCAAGATGTTGGATAGTTACCAAACTGGGTAGGACAGAGTACTTAAGGCTCAGTAGAAATATAACTTGCCCTGCCAATCCTGTTATTTACTAAGTACGTTATCTAAAGTAGCAGCCAAGTTTACACACAGTGGAACTGAACACCTCTCACCAGAAAATGGCCTTAGTATACGACATGTCCAGAATTATATGGGAAACCAACACAGATTTACTCTTTAGAAAAAAAAAGAACAAAGAGTCATTTTAGCAGAAAAGATTCAGGCTTATCTAAAAAACAAAAACACAATCTATATTTTTGCTTCCACTGTCATGAAAAATATTTCTGTTTCCTTATGAAAATTGTAATTATAGAAAACATGAATGTATAACTGAATATAATAGTGGTACTATACGTACAGGTCCTTTGCAATGTACATTCCACATAAATATACTTTTATAGTGTCTTTGCTATAAATATATATATTTATTATGTATAATATATACTAATACATATTTCTAATAAATATATATGTATAACCCATATCCAATGTGCATTTCACATAAATAGACTTGTATGTTTAACAAAAAGTTAAATTGGGTTATAATTGTTTTGCCACAAGAAAGGTCACTTCTCAAAAGTCCAATGCAATCAATAGAGGATAGTAAAGCTCACGAAATAAAACTATTTTTATTGTTAAGTTTTCCAGAACCTATTAGCAGGGTTATTAAATCTGATAAAGTTTTAAATTTTTCTTTCAATTATGCCTATCTCCAAGAGAAGGTGGTCAAAATTGTTGACATCCTGTGAAACTAGGTAATATGACGTGTGTCATATGTGTGTGTGCATGTGTGTGTGGTGTGTTACAGTAGTATTCCAAGGTTTAAACCCAAGGTTAAAAAAATTTTAAATATCACACAAAAAAGAAAAGAAAATATGTACTTACAGCAAGGAGAAATGACTTTATTGGGGCATGGAAGAAAAATGTTTTCATAAAAGGAGCAATCTAAAGGAAACAGCCACCTCTAAGAATCCTGAGACATAGTCTATAAATCTTTACAGCTCATTTTTTCTTCTACCCTAAAAAAAGGAAAACTTCACTAAAAATAAAAAAGCCAATGTGATGTGAAAAGCCAGGATTTGAAAGGTTAGATCTTTGTAAATTATTTTCAGAGATTTTTGATCTATAAATTCATTTCGAGGGGCTGGCCCTGTTTCTTAGTGGTTAAGCTGGGCATGCTCCACTTCAGTGGCCCAGGTTCAGTTCCCTGGCAAGGACATACACCACTCATCGGCAACCATGCTGTGGCAGCAACCCACATACAAAATAGAGGAAGATTGGGACAGATGTTAGCTTGGGGCAAATTTTCCTCAGTAAAAAAAACAACAACAAAAAAAAACACTTCATTTCAAATAGCATGCGTAATGGTTATATAGAATAAGATATAGAAAAATATTTTTACCTGCTACCTACTTGTTTTGTAGGACATTACATGTTATCATATGTACTACCCTCAGATTCCTGACCCATTTTCTGTTAACACAGATATAGATAGATAATTACTGTTTATTAGTTTTCTGTAGCTAATACTTTCAAATACTAGGTCAAAAAATTCTTATTACAGGTCTAGGAGGAAAAGAAATTTCTGCAGTAGCCACACATTTGACCATGCAAATAGGGCAAATAGGGCAACTCCCTAAACAAACTTATTTGGTAATGATAGTTCCTATTCCTGAATATGTCATTGGCATTGCTATTCTAAAAGGATTAACATTGCAGTTGACAGATGGACAAAATCAATTTGGGATATGTTCTCTAACGTATTCCACTTGTTCTGTTATTATTGGATGTATTAAATATGAGGTGGAGTTGCCCCCATCCACCTCAATTGTACAAATGAAACAGTATAAGATCCCAGGGGGGCAACAAGAAATTTCAGACACCATACAGGAAAATTTAGACGCCAAAGTATTAATACCTATAACTACAGAATGGAGTAATCCCATCTGGCCTGTCAAAAAGAGTGATGGCTCTTGGCACATGACAGTAGATTATCAAGAACCAAACAAGGTGACTCCTCCCTTAACTGCTGCCTTGCCTCATGTGGTCACCTTAAGAGAACAAATACGGAGACATCCTGGTGTTTGGCATGCTGTGATTGATTTGGCTAATCTTTCTTTTCTGTACCCATTGTTAAAACAGTTCAGTCCCAGTTTCCTTTCATCTGCCTGGGATGACAATACACTTTCACCAGGTTGCCTCAGGGATATATACACAGTCCCCACTAACTGTCATAGGAAGGTGGCGGAAACATTGTCCCACACCTCGATAGATTTAAGTACACAGCTAGTCCATTATATTGATGACATCTTAATTCAGGGATTAAATCAGGAAGAGGTAAATTGTGCTTTACAAGCAATTTTAGAAACCTTAAGGAGGAAGGGTGGAAAAATAAATCCCGCCGAAATCCAGGAGCCAGCACAAACTGTCACATTCTTAGGCACAACTTGGAATAGAAAACAACGAGAAATCTTGCCAAAAGCAAAACAAAAGATTTTGAGTTTTGCCCCTCCTCTATATAAAAAGGAGGCACAAACATTTATTGGCTTGTTTGGATTCTGGCGGCAACACATTCCACATTTAAGTCAAATCCTGGCCCCCTTATATGGAGCCACTCGGAAAAAGTATCAGTTTCAGTGGGGTGAACCCGAGAAAAATGCTATTGAAAATGCTAAACAGGCTGTACAAACAGCCCTGGACCTGTGGCCTATAAAACGTGGGCCAATTGAGTTGCAGGTTCATGCAGCAGATGGATATGCAAATTGCAGCACTTGGCAAAAACGGGATGGGAAGAAGGTGCCTCTCGGGTTTTGGGCTGGAAAGCTCCCAGAGGCTGCAGGTAATTACACTCCCACCGGTGGTACAAACTATTGGGATTTTGTTGGCTGATTGTGGTGTGGATGTTGTAAGTCCCAATTTGTTGTTCCTCTTTATGTTTGCTCCTTGTTCTGTTTCCCTTTATCAATAAACTTTGATTGCTTAAACAACCAAGTAGCCTTGGCGATACCTGTCATTCCTTGCCCTTTGCTGCTTTAGGCAACATTCCTCCTCACCACTACAGCCTGGGGTCTTTGCGTTGGCAGTGAAGGGCACTGTGCGTGGCCTCTTTCTGACCCTGGGCCTGTGCTGTGAAGTCCTCAAACTTCTTTCTTCTGCACTTAGAGGCACCCATGCTACAAGCACTTCCCACTTAAGGGTGGTAGCCTTGGAATTTAGCTTTGTCAAATGCCTCTGCGGGTCTATTTTCTCGTTGAGAATGCAAGTTTGTAATCACCTTGATGATTATAACTGCTTTCTTTCTGACTTTGTATGTGTGCAGTTGGAGTAGACATTTCTCTGGATTTCACGATATGTTCGCTCTGGTCTTTTCCTGCAGGGTCTTGACTGCACTCTGTTTCCTTCCACTCTCTCATTAGGATTTTTATCTGTTTTTCCTCTACCAGGCATTCTCCTAGACTTTCTCTTTTTGCTGAGGAAGACTGGCCCTGAGCTAACATCTGTGCCCATCTTCCTCTACTTTATGTGTGGGATGCCTACCACAGCATGGCTTGCCAACGGTGCCATGTCCGCACCCGGGATCCAAACCGGTGAACCCCAGGCTGCTGAGAAGTGGAACGTGAAACTTAACTGCTGCACCACTGGCCGGCCCTCCCCTAGACTTTCTTGTTTCCAGATGGCATTCATTCATTTCCCATTATATTTGTTTTTAATTTTTTTTTTTTTACTTTAAAGAATTTTTGGAAGATTTTGGATCTTGATAGATCCAATCTCTTACTTTAGTTTGCCTCATTCTTTATTCTGTAGTGTACTTTATTTTTTAAATTCTTATAAATATTTTAGTGAAATATTAAGATAAGACTCAGGGCTATTGAATCATGCTATTTAATGATGTTTTGTGAGATTAATCAGCTAAAGTACCTTGACGTCCGTATCCAACGTCTTCGTAACTTACAAGAGCGGTGAGAAAACACTCCCTATATGCAGACATTGAACAGTGAAATCTCTTTTTAAAAAATTTATTTATAAAAAGAATAATCTTAAGCAATAAAACTTTAAGAGACAATAAAAGATTAAATTATGGCTTTGACGAAAATTGTTTAGGAGGTTCTGGCCTTTGTCTGTCCTTTGCTTTCTTATCATTTCTCAATATTGATTTTATTGTATTCCTTAATTTCAATGCCAAAAATCTAATGTCATACATCTATCATCTTCACCTTCAACTGGGTTCAGTGCTGTTTCCTTCAAAAGGATCTACAGCATTTTAAAAATTGTTTTGTTAGACACGATTTCTTGTCTTTTAAATGTGTTGGTGACTGTGGCGTATTATATTTTTCATTCCTTAGACTTAAGAAAGGTCTAAAAAACTAAAATACAATATATCTCATGAGAACGTTCAGAGTATTTCTCCCATGGCCTTTGCATTTGCTCAGCCATTTATCACTCCATCCGTCTGCTGCAAAGAGCTGTGCTTCAGGTCCTCAGACTGCGGCAAACAGCAACACCCTCCAAGGCTGCTTTGCTCAGTTTTAGTAAGGCGCACTGTTGTTTCTTTTCATTTATTACGCATTTCCCGGAGCCATCTGTTAGACTTCTCTCTTTACGTATGCTCTTCATTTGTAAAATATGCTATGGATTCTGAAGGCCAAGAGAATGAAATTTCTGTAAATAAACTTTACATATAGAAAATTTATTATTGCAACAAGTTGTCTGTGAAATTTTTCTAATTTCTCCTTGTATTTTCATGCAATATAGAAAAAAATACACTGCCACAGTTCATTTTGAGACCATGTTAAACTAAAAATTATATGCTTATGCACTAAAATCTAAAGATGGGGAACTTGATAATATTCTTGTTAATCATAAATAATTTCTTAACTCCTTGTTAATATTTCCTCTGACATTATATCTTAATAAGTGGAGTAAAAGTTCCAAAAAAATATGTACTCTATAATATGTATTTTATATTTATTATATATAAATATATATTTATATTATATATTATATTACATTCTTTTATTATTATTTATATTTTTATATATTTTATACTTATATTTATTTTTATTTTTAAATATTTAAATATTTTTATGTTTATATTTATTTATATATTATATTATTATTATATTTATATTATATATTTATATATAGAATTATTTATATACTTATATATCAATAGATATATAATTTATATGCTTTAGTGTATATTATTTAAGTAATAAATAATGCATATTTAATCACACATTCTCTGAGGAACTGTCCAGGCCATTGCAATGTATATTTTAAGTTTGACTAAACTTCCTCACGCCCCATTGCCGACTCTTAAGTAAAGTTGTAGACAAGTATGATTCAAATACTGACTAAGTTTTTCAAGGGCATAACTTTCTGTTTGGATTTGTTAGTAAGAATAAAGCAAACAAATATTGAATGGTGTTGCTCATCAGACTCTCATGGAGTTTAATTTATTTACTGGCATCTATTTCACTTTTTTCATGACAATATAAGTTCCTTGAATGCAGAGAATGACAATTTACGTATTAATATATCCCTAGCAGCTAGAACCATTCCTGACATATCTTTGGCACTCAATAAATGTTCACTGAAGGTAAATTTAACCCTTAAAAATCCTATTCAAATATTTCAATTTAATCGAGCATTCAATATAGAAACTTTAAAACTCTAGAGGCGTTATAGTGCATGGAGGAGATAATAAAGGAAATGATAACCACTATATTACCTAGTTAGAAGGTTATATTCCTCATTTTTCTCCCTGTTTGGCCTTACAAGGTTATTAAATTTAGAAAGTCAGTCTTCTACCTGTCCAATAAGTGTGAATCTGTTTAATGTAAATATATATACCACTTTAAACAGTAAATTTCAAAGGACTTTAAAATCAGTAAACAAAATCCTTTATATTCCTTTAGTGAAACATGAACACATACGCGATCCAACGGCGTCCAAGAGGACTGAGAGAAGTGCATACAGCCGACACCAAGTGGAAAGCAGGATTTTCCTTTCCTCTTTCTGAACAACATCCATGCTGGACGGATATCTTTGTCTTGTGAACATTTGTATTTATGTAAGAGAATTTCACTGAGTTGATCAATGCAGTGGAAAATCCATACTGAAGTCAGCTACCATATGTTATTATGAGTTCATTTTCTTAAATGATCCTGTTTAAAATAGATCCAAACAGATGAACAGAATTCCTCTGGATAGAAGTCAGCTGCATAATTGAGTCATGGTACTTACTCAGCAAACACATGGAGAAATACTAATTAACACAAAGATCAGAGACATCATTTTGTATTTTCTCTAATAGTTTCTTACTGCTGGAAATTGGAAAATGAATATTGCAATGACTACCATGACAATTGTGGCCACTTGGCTCTTCATAATTAGCGATTTAAGAATTCAGTCATCTCAAACCATCTGGTTTTTTTGTTTCTAATAGATTGTACACACAAGTTTTCTCTTTGTTCAAGGACAGTGGAGAAAAAAATGGTAAGAAAAAAGCTAGAATTGACTTCTGTATTGGGGAAATTTAAAATAATTTGGAGTGGTATAGGCCAAAGTACATAGTGTAGTGAAACTACATACTGTAACAAATCACTACAATAGGGAGAAAGCATATGATGAAATATTCAGTTACAAAGTGAAAATACCTCATTTTTTTGTTTTTCATCATGGGTAGCAAAGTGTTTATGTGAAAGGAGCACAGACCTGTGACTCAAGAAATCTTCGTTCTCACTCTGGCCCTGCCCTTTCCTGGACCACAGCATGTCCTCTCTGAAAGGAAGTGACTGGGCAACGTGACCTTCAGTGTATCTACTGCTGGCATCAGGGATTTCAGAATACAATTTCTTTTAGGTAAAATATTAAGATAATTGATTTATTTTTTATCTTTTTTCCATCTAAGAAGTTGGAAACTGCATATTTCATAAACAATTACTTTGATAGATTTGCAAAGCAGACTCCTAGAAGTGGAAAAATCTTGAAGTATACATTTAAAGACATATATTTCTCCTGTATATTGACTCTGTTGAAATGGCATTAAGCTACATTTATACTTCCTATAACATTCAGATAATTCACTTATAGTGTGATTTTTATTTATTTTATTTATTTCATTGTAGTATGAACCTTGTAGAACTTTCTTTAATGTCCACATGCAGAAATATATTGTTTGGATTACTAAATCACCTACTCTTGCAAAAGATCTGATTCTTATTTTTCCTCTGATCTATTTCCATTTGTCTTTATATCTATTTCTTCGCTTCATCACACATAGCTTAGAACAATTTTTCTCACACACCATTAGCTATTCTGACTTTCTCTTTGGCCTAAGATGCAATATACTTTACAGTAAGAAAATATGCTTATACTTACAATAGACTTACAATAAGAAAAAAGAACACTTCAATTATACATGATCCTTAAGTTTCAGGCCATATTTGACTGTTTAAATTTTGCCATTTGTTCACATCAATTGAATTATAAGACCTATACAAACGTTAAAAGTAAATAGGCCATCAAATAATTTGAATATCAAAATACTCATACAAGATTTATAAATGATAAAAAATGAAATAAACTGTAATGTTTTATGTAGATGAAATACAATGTAATGTTTTATGAAACTCATTAACATGCTAAAAAGGCATTTGTATTTTGAGGGTATGATTTTGATGAATGATATAAATTCTTTTTAAAAGGTAAAAGTTGAGCACGTGGATTTTTGTTCCTACTGACAGCCAAAAAACTAAGTGTTCTTTATTAGCCCTAATGTGAGTTGTCACTTGCTTGGCTGGTGAATTTGCAGGTCAATAAGACCATTTGTAAATCTATTACTTTCTATGGATGTGGCCAAATACCTACATAAGAACTGTAAATTAGCTAATGGCACTTTTGGCAAGATAATATTTAGAGATACTAATTTTAGCTGTATGATAATGATACTAAGAGCAATTCAACCACATGGAGACACTTTACCTTCCAGAACAAAAGTTTCATTCATCTCTTCAATCTGTTGATGCTTGTTACACGATAGCAATGTATTCTCTTTGTTTAAATTAGCCTTAGTGCTAATTTTACCCTTCCATCTTTATATCTGTCTATGACAGTAAACATTTTAGACAGAAAGAAAAATGTAAACATTAAGTTTTTTATACTCTGCTTCCCATTCCTCCATCATCCCTATCCTGGCTGCTGAATTTAATATAGGCAAAGGCATCTACAAGCCAAGGCAAAGAATGGAGTACACAGAGAAAATGCAAAAGTGCTAAGTTAATGAAAAATACATTCTCTATGAAATTTATTTGTAATAGAATGATATAAATGTATTTTCTTTTGCCGCTGATAAATTAAGGCATTTTTATATTGACTACATTTGAAGAAGCATTCAATGAAATATAATAATTTTATTTAATTTAGTTAGAATTGACCAAAGCTATTGTTATTAAAAAGACTGTAAGTTATTTTGACAACTTAATTTGGTATAGTCAATTAGTGGCATATTTGACGTTCTTCCTGACGTGGTTATATTTCACACATTGACATTTGACAACTCTATTTTGAGTATATGACACTAAAATTTCAGGGTTTGATACTAGGTGTTGTTTGAAATGCACATGCCAACTTTTTGAAAGCAATGAATAATAATATGAAAACTTTTCACTACCCTATAATCTTAGAAGCAATTATCGCTTTTGTGCTGATAACACTACTAAATTGTATACTATTCAAGGAACTTCTTTTTACCTAAAACGCCTTCTTTGTCTCCACAAATGGCTTAAAAGCATCACATTGAAAAATCAGCCAGGAACTGAGAGAATTAAAAAAGAATAAAAGAAATTGAAAATTAACTCTTGAAAATGCATAAATGAGTATACCAAAGAGACCAAAGAATTTTGCTCCACTAACATTTCAAGACACAGCAAGCCTTTCCTGAGGGAAAGTAATAACCTAACTGATATCTTAAGAAGAAGAGATGTAAAATAAGAAAGACTAACACAATCATTCAAAAGAACTGAACACACGGAGAGCAAGAGCAAGACATAGCAGACAAACGTAAATAATAAGAAAACAGGAACTGGGTTTCTACCAAGCATAGAAAGACATTCTATGTTATAATACACAATACAGAATGAAAATACGATAGTTATAAATATCTAGTACTAAATAAATAATCGTTTATATAAAGCAGAAATTAAGGAGTTAAAGAAGTCTTATAAAGTACACTGATAATAGGAGAACGTAAGACACTACTGTCAGTTCAGGAGAGTTCAAGTGGATCAATGCAGAGCTGCTCTTGCTTCAAGTACCATTTTCAGACACAACTGGGCAATATGGTTTGGTTATCCGTGTGGGCTGAGGAGCCATGCACGAGTCTCTAAATTCTAATTCTGCCATTTCTTACCTAGATTTCTTTTGGCAAATTAAATCTTTGAGCCTTTCTTTTTTCTTGTGTAAAAGGGGACAATAAAAGATTCTGTCTTATGATTTTACTATAAGGAATATATGTGATAATTCAGATAAAGGATTTAACGTCAAGCCTGGCACATACAAAGTTTTCAGCAAGTATTAGGTGCTATTATTCAAATAAGAATATTGTCTTTTTGTTTAGTTTTTATTATAGAAATTTTTAAACATTCAAGAGAAGAAAAATAATTCCATTCTATGACTCAAAAATCCAGAGGCAATTAGGAAAGAGTTCTAAATTTCATTTTAAAGAGGCATGGCCAAAAACCAACCAACCAAAGAACAAACTATGATATATGAAGACAAATGTCAAACTTTGAGAAATATCTGCAATGCATATAAGTCATGAACTTAAAATTCATTTGAGAGAAACATCCCTTTAGGTGACTAATTTTAACAAGTTCTTTCAAAAGCTTGCAGAAACTTCAACTTTTCTAACCCTTGTCCTCTGGCTCTTAGCATTTAACCACCTCTCTCAAAGATACCAGTCCTCAATTTTTTAATAAATGGTAACTAAAGTTAACTGAGGTTTAACTAGTAACAAACGGCAAAAATGATTTGTCTTCTGTTCCCCAAGGTTCTGCTGAATTGGAATCTGCTCCCATGAGGGGAAAAAAAACCCCAGTAACTGATCTTGCTAAGAAACAGAATAAAAAGAAGTTGGAAGAGCAAAACTGGGGACAAATAATGGAGAAATGTGTGAAATAATCATGCATTCCAGTACCAGTTCAGTTACCTGTTTTCACCAAATCCATTCTGATTGAATATTTGGAATTGCCTAATTTCCTTGTTTTTACTATTAATCAATATTAATTCAAGTCAATTTCAAAAACTGTTGACACTATTGACAGATTTCTGTAATTCTTTTGGAAGCTTCACTTCGAGCATGTTATTCCGCTGTCTAGTTGACAGTCATCAATTATTAATGCATTTATATTATCTGTTTATTATATTAGAGTTAATTAGCATAAACCAATTTACCAAAATGGCAATTGAAATTCTGAAAACTCACTGACTAAATATTAAAGTCAAAATAACACTATTGCCTGCTGTCCTTTTTGCTTTTCATAGCCGTTTATGAAATCCATTTATTCTTGGCACATGCAATTGCAAGCTAAGTCTGTTGATATGAGGTTTTAGATTTTTAAAACATCAAACTCTACAAGGTGGAAATTAGGAGCAGTGTTTACTAATAAAATCATTGAAAAAAGGACCTTAAATACTGTGACAGAATTTAGATAAAATTAAAATATTGTTTTAAATAGATATTTATCAGTTTAAAAAAAGTGTCCTGCTTCCTCATAGATGGCAAGCTCAGGCTTATTATTATCTTTCCACATGTCTACAGGGAAAACACTCAAGGAAACAGCTTTTCTTTAGACTAAGAGAATAAATGTGTTTAATATAGTAATGATAATAACAATATTACGACAACAACTAATCATGATAATAATGACAGAAATGATATATGAAGTCATGTTATAGTTGATTGAGCTGTCAAATTGATGGAATCCTGGAATGCCTTGCAAATTTCTTAGACATCTTTTTTATTAGGAGAAATGTCTTTTTTTATTTCTGGAAATGATATCCTATAGGCATGTATCCTGTTCAGGAAAACATCTTTGATTTATATTGCCTCCAATTAAATGGACCAAATAAGCAGTTAAGTGAAACTGTCAGTAAACATTAACATTAATCACCTAATTTGGCCCATCTAATTTATGTATGTATTTATTCTACATAGAATCACAAAAATTTATCAAGATAAAATATGATGACTTCAGTTTGGGTGCCATTCCTATACTGAAAATGTGTAAATTGTATGAAGTTTCTGTCTAATAAATGTATTGCTGCAGAGCAGCATATATAAGAACAAGCAGCACACCTATTTTGCATAATGAAAGTGTAAGTGACAGCAATATGGGCCTCCATATGTTCTATTGGTCTCTTATTTGTGTTTCCCTATTCAACCAAATGACCACATAATGGCTATGACCACAGAATCTCGTTAACAAAAGCAAATGCCCATATATTTATCTCTGGACAGTTGCAGACTCTATCTAATGTGTCCTGATCAGAGAGTCAGTAAGAGAAACAGAAATCTACAGTAATCCAGAAGTTTTCAAACACAAATATTGGGAATAGATTTAATCATTTACCGCCTTGAATTGTTATGTTATTTTAAGACAAAGAATCATACAATAAGTTAGAATACATTATCTTCTGTAGAGTCCGTTTTGGTCAGAATCCCAAAGATAGATTTCTTTTGATGCAAATCTTACAGGTTTTAAAGCCAGCTTTCTGGTGTTTGAAAAAGGAGAATTATATCCAGCTTAGGCACATGCCACAAAAACAAACAAAGAAAAAAAGCACATGGAGTGTTATATAAGTACATTTATCAACTGGCATAATTTAAAGGTGCTGAGTCCAGAGGGTGAGAACCCCTCTTAGGCATATGCAAAAAAATTGTCCAATATATTCCTGATGTCATCCATTTATTTCAAAATCATTATTACTTTTGAAGTTAAGCGTATAGCCTAATGAATACATATCAAGTTTGGGAACAAGACATTATTGAGACATTCTTTTAAAGAAAATATATGCCCAATTAAATAGGTGTGGATTTAACTTCAACAGCCATCCATAGAAGTCATAAAAACTAAAACAGGTTTGGTTTTAGTTTTCACACTCTGCCTTAATCTATTTTTATGCATATGTGATCTTCGAGAGATTTCTTTTAAAAACTGTCAGCAGACCTAACATACCTTTAAAAAAAGAATTGCCAGAGAAATTTGGAAGAAGGTGGCGTAAGAGGATCCTGAACTTACCTCCTCCTATGGACACAGCAAAATTACAACTACCTCTGGAACAATTTCCTCTGGGAGAGATCTGGAAACAGGATAAAAAGCACCGCCACCACACGAGACAACACAGACTGCAGTGGAAAAGGCAGAGACACAGCCCCGCTGAGCAAAATCCCACCCCCTAGCCACTGCGCCTCACAGCCAGGGGAGCGCTCCAAGCTGCAGAGCTCTTCCTGGAGAAGTGGAGGTTCTGAGCTCCACAGTAGGCATCCCAGCCCTTAGACTCAGCACAAGAGAGACAAGATCCCATAATACCTAGCTTTGCTGGCCTTGAAAACCAACAGGGAACACACCCAGGAAAACTACAGAACTTGAAGGAAAGAAAAAACTGCTCTTAAAGCGCCCACGTAGACTGACCTGGAAACCAGCACAAAGACATCAGATAGAAAAATGCATAGTTCATTGATAAAAGAGACTCACTTACTAAGCTAGGAACATACCCTGGGGAGGCAGGAGGTGGGTGGGCCCCCAGGAACTGTGACATTGGCAGCAGCCATTATTGTGATCTAATTCAGCCATGCTCACAGACATGCTGGCAGGCACCATTGGAAACCTCCATCTAACCTGTTAGCACAGGAGTCTGCCCTGCCACTGGAGTGCCTGAGGCAATAGAGAACAGCCTAGCAACAAGGAGCCTGCCTCAGGGGCCAGCCCCACCCATCAGCAAGCCTACAGTGACTTGTGGGCCTCCAGAAGATTTGTGCTGCTGGACATCACAAACAGCCACAGAGGGAATCTTCACTACCTGAAATGATTGTGCACTGCCTGGCCCACCTCCTGAGGTTGCTGTGTACCACAGAGTAACATAACCAGATCTTGCCAGAGGCCTGCCCTGCCATAGGAGCCACATCAGAGACCTGCAGCAATTATGTGTCCCCACGCCTAACAACCAGCCACACTGGGGGCCTGACTCACTTACCAGCAAAACTGCAGTAGTTGGGTGCTCTTAGACCTTGCAGCCAGCTGTGCGAGGGGCTTGCCCTGCACAAAGTGCCTAGAGCAGCCACGTATGGCTGAGCCTTTCAACCAGCTGGCCCACAGGCCAATCCAACCTGTGCACCCACAGCAATAGCAATCTCACCACAACAGAAGCACATGCAGCCCACACAGGAGACATGCCTGGAGCCCTTGGCATGTGTGATGCAAGGGGAGAACATTGCAGGGCCCCATAAGACTTCTCTTCCATAACACCATATTTCCAAGATTGGGAGACATAGACAACCTTCCTAATACATAGAAATAAGCACAGAGAAGTAGGCAAAATGAGAAGACAAAGGAATATGTGTCAAAAAATGGAATAGGACAAATCCTCAGAAAAAGAACTAAATGAAACAGAGATAAACAATCTAACTGATAAAGAGTACAAATTAATCGTCATAAAGATGCTTGCTGATCCTGGGAGAAGCATGTTAGGAGAACACAGTGAGAACTTCAACAAAAAATTGGAAAATATGAAAAAAAAAACAATCAGAGCTGAAGAATGCAATAACGGAAATAAAAAAAATCACTAGAGGAAATCGA